AACTTTTCTCAGAAGTAGCCATCATCCTTGAATGTGTAGCAGAAGTATTTTATGCACACTCCTCCTTTCATTCCACAGAATATTAAGAATACAGGTATGCAAGGATCAGTCAGAATTTAAGAAACTGAACAATTGTTCCTTTTTCTTCCAAGACACACGGAGACACAGAGACAGACAGGAGAGATCTCCCATCCACTGCTTCACTCCCCAAATATTCCCGATGTTCAAGCTGGGCCAGCTTGAAGCTGGGAGCTAGAAGCCAAATCCAGGCCTCTCATGGGGAACCCAGCTATTTGAACCATCATTTGCTGCCTCCCGGAGTCTGCATTAGCAGAATCTGAGCTGGCAACCCAATGCCCAGCACGGTCAATGCCAGCTCCAAGGGCACTCCTAAGTGAAACTGGTGGTGAGAATTATGCTACTAGTTGGCTTTGGCCGCCATCTCTACCTGTGCTAGATCTCAGCAGTTTTACCTACTGCTCTGTGTGTCTCACCAGTTGGCATATAAATACACAGTGGGAAAGCAGCCTAGTATTTTCCAAGAATTTTCAGATTTCTTCAAAGTTGTTTTTGGGATAGCAGGAGTCTGTGGGCTTTCATCTGAGAACCATTGAGTAAACCAACACAGCTTATTTCTTCTTTATGTATGAAAAGCAATTTTGCTCTTCAAGAGCAACACAGTCATAGAATAGAACATTCACTAAGTCAGATATAGGATGCTAAACCACCTGCACGGGGCAGGCAGTTAGCCTGGTGGTAAGGATGTCAGTTAAGACACCACATCCCACACTGGCGCGTCCCAGTTTGTTTCCTTGCCCTGGCCCCTGCCTCCAGCTTTCTCTTGGTGTAGACCCACAGAGGCGGCAGCCGGTGACTCCAATGGCTGCTCCATGTGGGAGCTCTGGATGTCTTGGTGCCGGCACTGGCTTGGCTCTGGTGAGGGCCTCCTGGCCATGACGTCATGGCAAGACGGTGTGTGAGAAGCTGCAAGGGCTGGGGATTTATTTATTTATTTGAAAGTCAGAATTAACACAGAGGGAGAAGGATAGGCAGAGAGAGAGAGAGAGAGAGAGAGGTCTTCCATCCGCTGGTTCACTCCCCAATTGGCCGCAATGGCTGGAGCTGTGCTGACCGGAAGCCAGGAGCCAGGGGCTTCTGGGTCTCCCATGCAGGTGAAGGGACCCAAGGACTTGGGCCATCTTCTACTGCTCTCCCTGGCCATAGCAGAGAGCTGCATCAGAAGTGGAGCAGCCAAGACTTGAACCGGCACCCATATGGGTTGTCAGCAGTGCAGGCAGCGGCTTTACCTGCTATGCCACAGCGCCAGTCCCTAGGCTTGCTCCTTCAAAGCAGCCCTTCCTTGAGAAGTGGAAGTTAAGAGTCTCAGGTTGGTTGCCCGAGTGTGGGTAGGGGTAGGGGGTAGATCGGTGAGGAGTGATCTGTGTATGGAGGCGATGTTACAGTTGGACAAGAGGAGTAAGTTCTGGTGAGCTATCGCAAATCAGGATAAGTGTACACGTAACACGAACGTATTGTTTATTCCCAGGTCTGGGAGAGGATTTTTTGATGTGCTCCTTGCCAAGAAACGACCAAGGTTACAGGTGATGGCTATGCTAATTCTGTGGCTTTGATCGCTGCACAATGTATACATGTGCGGATACGTCACGTGGTGCCCTGTTAATACCTATGCATAATTATGTGCCAATCAAATCTGAAATAAAAACAAACAAAACTCCATGTGCTTCCAAAAAGGAAACTATGATAAAAGATCTCCCTTCTGCTAACATATGCCCCCACCCCAGCCCCAAAACTGTCTCCTTTGAGGCATCTACTTCTTCTTGTGCATTTTCCCAGAGCTCTAAGAGGTATTAAATACTCCCACATAGAGAATTTTTCCCTTACAAATAAGTAAATGGAAGCTTGCTATATATCTTTTTTTTTTTTTTTTTAGATTTGTTCATTTACTTGAGAGGCATAGTAACAGACAGAGAGAGGGAGAGACAGAGAGACAGAGAGGTCTTCCATCTGCTGGTTCACTCTCCAAATGGCTGCCAGGAGCCAGGAGCTTCTTCCAGGTCTCCCACGCAGGTGCAGGGGCCCAAGGACTTGGGCCATCCTCCACTGCTTTTCCAGGCCCCAGCAGAGAGCTGGATTGGAAGAGGAGCAGCCGGGACTTGAACCATCACCCATATAGGATGCCGGCACTGCAGGCGGTGGCTTTACCTGCTATGCCACAGCGCTGCCCCCAGGGCTCCTTCTTAATGGGCACTTGAGATCAAATAGGTGTCGAGGAGGGGACTGTTGAAGGCATTGAACACTTGGATCCATTCTGTGCTAAGGTGACCTTAGTTTTGTCGTAAAAAACATGGGGACCCAAGTATGTATATTTATGGGGGAAAACAGGACAGAGCATTTGTACTTGTGAGTGGTGTGAATTTCCTGGAATGTCTGGTCACCTTGCCACGCCCAGACAAACATGTAGGAAGCTGCAATTCACCCTGTAGGCTTCTATGCCTACAGCCCTTTAGGGCAGATTTTGTTCAAAGATATTATAGACTGGCCCCTCTTTGGCTAGTGGAGTGATTGATTCTTCTTTTTCCTTTCTCTCTCTCTTTCTTTCTTTCTCTCTCTTTCTTTCTTTCTTTCTTTCTTTCTTTCTTTCTTTCTTTCTTTCTTTCTTTCTTTCTTTCTTTCTTTCTTTCTTTCTTTCTATCTCTGGCAAGAAGGTGGAGGAGTTCACATATCAGGGAAGTGATTTCTGTACAACCAATGAGCTCAGCAGTGGCACGGGTCCAATTTCATCATTACGGCCGTGTGTACATGATGTGAAAACAACCTGTGAATTCCATGCGTGCAGAGAGCTGAACTGCCGGGGTTGCAGGGGGAGATCAGTCAAATGGATTGTTCTGTGTAATTGACTGGCGGCCTGGATTGATGAGACAGTTCCATTAAAATGGTCGATCCAATTAGACGGTGTCGCATGATGGAAAATACAGCACCGATGGCTTCTGGTGCGGTGTTTTTATTCAGGGCAGGGTTTGCAGTGGGAAGAGAGCCTGTTGACTTCAGGCAGGTTCCTCTTCTTAGCACCTGGGTGGCCTGGGCGTGACTGGGGGCTTCCAGAGTGTGTCATTTGATCCTGGGCAAAGCCCAACAATGCAAACAGCATGTCTCAGGAATATCAGCAAGGAGGCAAGTTTACTGTTGTTTTTATTGTGTTTTCAATCACAAGAGGATAAGGTGCCAATCACCTTTGTTAGAGTTCAGGCTTTCCACAGGTCTGAACCCGGTTCTCAGGGATACATGAAGGGAACTTCAAAAAGTTCACAGAAAAAGAAAATCAAAAGATAAGTTTATCTGGACACAGAACATTGCTGAAATACATGCATTTTTTTTTTTTGGCGTGATAAGCTTTTTCCATGAACTCTCTCTCTCTCTCTCTTTTTTTTTTTTTTTTTTATTAACAGGCAGAGTAGACAGTGAGAGAGAGAGACAGAGAGAAAGATCTTCCTTCCGTTGGTTCATCCCCCAAATGGCCGCTGCGGCGGGCGCACCGTGCTGATCCTAAGCCAGGAGCCAGGTGCTTCTCCTGGTCTCCCATGCAGGTGCAGGGCCCAAGGACTTGGGCCATCCTCCACTGAACTCCCAGGCCACAGCAGAGAGCTGGACTGGAAGAGGAGCAACTGGGACAGAATCTGGCGCCCCGACTGGGACTAGAACCCGGTGTGCTGGCGCCGCAGGTGGAGGATTAGCCTAGTGAGCCACGGCACCGGCCTCCATGAGCTCTTTGAAGACTACTTGTGTGTGTGGATTTCACAGCTTTTTTTTTCTTTTCTTTTGCAACAAAATAGACAGCTTCTGATTCCATCTTCTTTCTTGTTGCTTTTTTAAAGTTTTTATTTATTTATTTGAGAGGCACAGTTACAGAGAGAGGTAGACAGAGAGAGAGAGAGAGAGAGAGGTCTTCCATATGCTGGTTCACTCCCCAAATGGCCGCAACAGCCGGAGCTGGGCCGATCCGAAGCCAGGAGCCAAGAGCTTCTTCTGGGTCTCCCACATGGGTGCAGGGGCCCAAGGAATTGGGCCATCTTCTACTGCTTTCCCAGGCCATAGCTGAGAGTTAGATCAGAAGAGGAGCAGCTGAGACATGAACTGGTACCCACATGGGATGCCGGCACTACAGGCGGAGGCATATTGTTTTAACCAATTTTAAGTGTACTGGGGCCAGCACTGTGGCATAGCGGGTAAAGCCGCCACCTGCAGTGCCAGCATCCCATATGGATCTAGCTCTCTGCTATGGCCTGGAAAACAGTAGAAGACGGACCCTGCACCAAGTGAAGACCTGGAAGATGCTCCTGGTTTTGGGTCAGCCCAAATCTAGCTGTTACAACCATTTAGGGAGTGAACCTCTCTCTCTGCCTCTCCCTTTCAAACAAATAAATAAATCTAAAAATAAAAAGTGTCTAACCAGTAGCATTAATTACATTCACAATATTATTCAACCATTGTCAGTACTTATTTTCAAAATGCTTCCATGACCTTAAACAGGAACTCTGTACCTGTTGAGTACTCCCTAACCCCTCTATCCGCAGCCTCTGATGATGTATACTTTACTTTTTGTCTCTAAGGATTGGGCCACTCTAAGTTCCTCAGATAAGCAGAACCACATAGGATTTCTCTTTTGGTGACTGGCTTAGTATGCTTAGCCTCAAGTCCTTGAGTTTAACCATCTCCATCTCCTGTGTCAGCACTTCGTTCCTTTTTAAAGCCTATCTAATATTCCACTGTGCAGATGGACCACATTTTGTTTGATGGATGCATGGGTTCTTTGTACCTTTTGGCCATTGCCAGGGATGCTGATGCTGGAATAGATATGAGTGTGCAGGTATCCATTTGCATCCATTCTTTGAATTCTTTTGGATGGATAGGAGGGGCAGTTTCCTTCCTGGTTACTCAAGGAAAACTTTTTTTTTTTTTTTGACAGGCAGAGTGGACAGTGAGAGAGAGAGAGAGACAGAGAGAAACGTCTTCCTTTGCCGTTGGTTCACCCTCCAATGGCCGCCGTGGCCGGCGCACCGCGCTGATCCGATGGCAGGAGCCAGGTGCTTCTCCTGGTCTCCCATGGGGTGCAGGGCCCAAGCACCTGGGCCATCCTCCACTGCACTCCCTGGCCACAGCAGAGAGCTGGCCTGGAAGAGGGGCAACCGGGACAGAATCCGGTGCCCCGACCGGGACTAGAACCCGGTGTGCCGGCGCTGCAAGGCGGAGGATTAGCCTAGTGAGCCGTGGTGCCGGCTGGAAAACTGGTTCTATTTACGCAGAGAGAGGCAACCTCAGGGAACCCACCCACCATGGGTTCCCAGTGAAAGCCAGGAGCTGGTGTCCAGCTGCTTCCCCACCCTCCCATCTCCATCCTCTGAGGTTCTGCCTTCTCTCCTCCCCCAGTGCCTGAGAGCCACCCCAGTCTCAAGTATGGGAGAGCGAGTGGCCTGCCGTGTTTACAAGGCTGCTCCGGGCTGCGATCTCCCCTCCAGGACTTCGCTTAGCCCCTTACGATCCCTGATCCCCACCCCCGATCCCCGTAACAGTGAAACCACAGCGTTCTCCAAACACCAGATCACAGAGAACTCATTACCCCAGTGATCACAACCAAACTGAACTCTCAAAGGGCTGCCTGCTTGTGCGAGCCGCCGAGGGACTCTCCCTGTGACCCGGCTGCAAAAAACAAATTAAGTTAAAACTCTCTGTTTGCCAAAGGCCTAATTCTATCTTTTTTGTGCAAAGTTTCCATTAAACAATATTCTTTACAGAAAGCGTGCCGTGACATTGTCCCCCTGGGAGCTACCATGGAAATGCAACTCCAACAGGAGAATTATTAAATTTCCCCATTAATTTTGTGTTATACCCTCTTAGCATTTATTAATAATGTTAGAAAAGATGCAAGGCTTTGTCATCTTTGAATTCTGGAGAGCATTTTGGGAAATTACGCTTCACCGGGGAGGTGTGAATTGTTGAAAGAGAGGATGGGGCCAGAGCTGCGGCGTAGTGGGTAAAGCCACTGCCTGCAGTGTCGGCATCCCATATGGGCACCGGTTTGAGTCCTGGCTGTTCCACTTCCGATCCAGCTCTCTGCTATGGCCTGGGAAAGCAGTGGAAGATGGCCCAAGTCCTTGGGTTCCTGCACCTGCATGGGAGACCTGGAGGAAGCTCCTGGCTACTGGCTTCGGATGAAAAGATATCAGGGACTATTTTAATATGTTTTCCCTTGCAAAAATCTCAGGTCAGGTATCAGGTATTTTTTTTTTTTTCTCTTGTCATTTAGTGCCCATGACTTTCCCCTTGCCTTTGATTGAGCAGAACTTGAACACCGTGCCTTGAACAGTCTGGAAAAATAGGTGTGGTTTCTCTACACATAGGGGTGCAAAGAGGTGTGTGGGAGGAACCCCACCCCATCAATCACTTCATGCTTAGTGCAGTGACTATGGTGGATTATCAAATTTCCTTCCTTTCTCTGTATTTGGGTGGACACCAGCGTTCTCACTATTTCTCAATTACATATGAGCTGCCTTGGATTTAGTGACAGAGAGAGAGAGAGAGAGAGAGAGAGAGAGAGAGACTTTCACCCACTGTTCACTCCCCAAATACCCTCAACAGCCAAGGCTGGATTAAGCTTACGCCAGGAGCCAACATCTCCATCTGGGTGTCCTGTGGGTGGCAGGGGTCCAAGTACTTGGGACATCATCTTCTCCCTTCCTAGGAGCATTAACAGGGAGCTGCATCAGAAGCAGAGTAGTTGTGACTTGAACCAGCACTCCAATAGGAGATTCTGGGGTCCCACGTAGCTGCTTAAAATGCTACACCATAATGCCAGCCACAGGAGACCAAAACTTATCAAGCACTAGGAACTATGTGTTGGATGTTCTCCTAGGTCTTTAAAAATTTTTAATTCTTACAGGATACCTGTAGGGTATATATTTCCCTTTTTTTAAAAGGTTTATTAATTTATTTGAAAGGCAGAATTACACAGAGAGAGGGAGAGACAGAGAGAGATCTTCCATCCATTCGTGCACTCCCTGAATGACTGCAATGGCCAGGGCTGGGCCAGGCCAAAGCCAGGAGTCAGGAACTCCATCCAGGTCTCCCACATGGTTGGCAGGGGCCCAAGTCCTTGGGCTATCTTCTGCTGCTCTCCCAGGCACAGTGGCAGGCAGCTGGATCGGACGCCGACACTCCAGTATGGGATGCTGGCAACCCAAGCGAGTTAAGCTGCTGCTTGCCACAACTTTTGCCTCCCAAAACCAATTTATTGAGTACTTATTTTGTGTTAGGCATGGTCCTAGGCTCTTTGGTTCAGTGATAGTGAATAAGACACTATGTTTTTTTTTGTCTGAGCGTGGGAGTAGAAAATCAGAAGCAACTATGATAGAGAATGAGAAGCACTTGTGAGAAAGCACATTGGACCGGGAGGTCAGGGGCGGCTTCCTGGAAGCAGGGACAGGACTAAGAGAGCCAGTGTGGCAGTGGGGCAGCCAGAGGAAGAGGACAAGGGAGAGAAGTCTGGGTGTGGCATCTACAGGGGGGCGAGAGATGGACAGGACTTGTCCAGGGACCTCTGAGTATGCCCCTTTCGCTGGGGTGGAACTGAAAGCCCAGGATAGATGACTTTTTTTTTTTTTTTAAGATTTATTTATTTTTTGAAAGAGTTACACACAGAGAGAAGGAGAGGCAGAGAGAGAGAGAGGTCTTCCATTCGCTGGTTCATTCCCTAGATTGCCGCAGCGACTGGAGCTGTGCCGATCCGAAACCAGGAGCCAGGAGCTTCTTCCTGGTCTCCCACGTGGATGCAGGGGCCCAAGGACTTGGGCCATCTTCTACTGCTTTCCCAGGCCACAGCAGAGAGCTGGATTAGACGTGGAGCAGCCGGGACTCGAACTGCACCCACATGGGGTGTTGGTACTTTACCAGCTATGCCACAGCGCTGGCTCCTAAACGACTTCTATTTGCCTTGAACCTTGTCCTTGAAGTTGATGGAAGATTTCATGACTCACCTAGGCACTGAAGCTCCATTCCTCTTGACCTGCAGTTTCCACTAGTGAGACTTGGCACAAACACGCAGAGTATCTGTGCCTGCTGGGTTTGGGGATCAGTGCAAAAACACCCTTCAGCCCCTGGAGCCCCCAAATCCTCAGGTCCCTGGTTTCAGGTAAATAGGAATCCTTGGAGGGTCAGCATGAGCTTGAATCCGTCAAGAGTGTTGAAGGCCTGGGACCAGGTCTCGCTAGGCTCCCTTGAGAAACTCATAAACCCTGGAAAAGCAGGGCTGCCTGGGCCCAGAGTGGCCTTGCCTGGGTCTGAGTGAGACAGGGGCACGTGTCACCCAGGTGTTTCCAGCGATCGCCAGGAAAACCCATCTGGGCGCACATCATTAGGGCAAATGAACAGGCTTATCTTGCCCCATGCAATGGTTATGAGGCGAGTAATTTCCCTGGTGGGCTGCAAACAACCCATCTCTACAGCACACCCTGGTCCCTACCAGGGCTATGTGTGAGAAGCTGGAAGAAGCAGCTCCTTGGAACTTACGGGCTGTGGGTCCATCCGCAGGTGGGTGGACGGGTTTTACGGAGGGCCACAGCTTGATGCTTATGACAGGTGCAGCCCAGGCATCTCTCCCCTGACAGGCTGGAGACCAGAAGTGCATCTGGCTCTAGGATCGTTCCATAGATCTTGCCAGGGGAGCATCCCTAATCTGAAATCCAGAGTGCTCACGCAGCGCCAACGTGCTGCTCAGGAACATTTAGGTGTTGGAGCATTTAGGATCTTGGATTAGGGGTTAGGGTTGCCCCATCTGTACTGCAAGGCTCTGGGAGTTCTTGTGGGAGACGGCATCCCTGGCTAGCCTTTATTTCAGGTTCTGGCTTCAGCAAGAGAGAGGAATTCAAGGCAGAGATGTAGGTAGATGTAGAGAAGCAGGAGTTTATTGATGGGTGTGCCGGTAGTCTCTCTCCACGAGGAAGGAAGAGCAACTGTCCCCATCAAAGTTTGGAACTTTTTTTTTATTAAAGATTTATTTTGTTTATTTGAAAGGCAGAATTAGAGAGAGGAGAGAGGAGAGAGAGAGAGAGAAAGAGAGAGAGAGAGACAGAGAGATCTTCCACGTGCTGATTCACTCCCCAAATGTCCCCAACAGCTGGGACTGGGTCAGGCTGAAGCCAGGAGCTAGGAACTTCTTCTGGGTCTCCCATGTGGTTGCACTTGGGCCATCTGCTGCTGCTTTCCCAGGCGCATTAACAGGGAGCTGGATTGGAAGTGGAGCAGCTGAGTCTCGGTCTCAAACCCATGACCATAAGGGATGCCAGGGCTTAATCTGCTATGCCACCGCACGGGCTCCCAAAGTTTGGAACTGTATTGGTTAGAAGATGGTGCACGGTAGGGGGTGGGGTTTCGGGTAGCCTTGGGGGCTCCAGCACAGATGCTGCTGTCAGGCTCTCAGCTCCTCGTTGCTTGCTAACCACCTGACTAGCCCACGTCACTCTTTCTTCTCTCTCTGTATCTCTCTCCGCTGTCTTGTCTAAGGACCCACACTGTGTGCATGTCTGCATATTCTGTTCTGACTCCATTAGTTTTATTCCAGGACTTCTTCCCTTCCTTTTCCCATTCGTGTCTTTCCCTTATTTTATCAGACAGTGTATCTTAGCTTGAGTTTTCCCCCCAAACCAGAAATGAGGCGGAAGCTCAGTGTGAAAGTGAGTTATCAGGGGCCGGCGCTGTGGGTAAAGCCGCTGCCTGCAGAGCCAGCATCCCATATGGGTGCTGGTTCGAGTCCCGGCTGCTGCACTTCTGATCCAGCTCTCTGCTATGGCCTGGGAAAGCAGTAGAAGATGGCCCAAGTCCTTGGGCCCCTGCGCCCATATGGGAGACCCAGAAAAAGCTCCTGGCTCCTGGCTTCAGATTGGCTCAGCTCCAGACATTGTTATCGTTTGGTAAGTGAACTAGTGGATGGAAGACCTCTCTCTCTCTCTGCCTCTGCCTCTCTATAATTCTTACTTTCAAATAAAATAAATAAATCTTATAAAAAAAAGAAACAGAGTTATTGGAAAGTGATTCCAAGGGTTTCTGACTTCCATGTGAATGATCTGCATTGAG